CATCCCAGAGCTCCGTCACCTCCATCGCTCACATCCCAGAGCTCCGTCACCTCCGTCACTCACATCCCAGAACTCCGTCACCTCCATCGCTCACATCCCAGAGCTCCGTCACCTCCAGCACTCACATCCCAGACCTCCGTCACCTCCGTCACTCACATCCCAGAGCTCCGTCGCCTCCGTCACTCACATCCCAGAGCTCCGTCACCTCCATCGCTCACATCCCAGAGCTCCGTCACCTCCGGATACCCAACCTCGTACCCGTCTGCCCCATTGCGCAGTGGTCAGAAAAGAACCCCTCCCTTGAGAACTGTAGATTTAATTCTCCAAATTCATTTTACAAGCCACAAAAAAAGTGCAGCAACGTACAGACATTCACAGGACACTGTACAGGCGCTTTCTGTCATATATTAGTGCTCTCGCTATATACATATACAAGTATATACAGCCTGCAGGAAGCCTTTGCGTGGGCAAGGAAACCTGCGCGCCCTTCGCACCCTGAAACGGAGCCAGCTCCTCTCCCAAATCTCTTGCTTGGGTCAGTCTAATCTGAGCTCAGCCCGAGCTCTCCCAGGCCCTGTTGCGGATGAAGCCACCGTGGCCACGCTGGGGACAACCGACCAGGTCCCCGCGTTGCTCCCCCCAGCCTCTTTGGTACCGGTTTTGCAGGACGGAGGCTCTCGCAAGGTGGTTTTGCACCGGGGCCAAATCTCCGTGCAGCCTCCCGGGGCTCCCGGAGGGACGCGGGCAGCGGGATGCTCCTTCCTCCTGCAGCAGTGGCAGCCGCAGCTCCCGGCCACCATGTCGTCGTACTGCTTGAGCACCACGTTCTCGTCGTCGTCGAAGTAGAGCAGGTTGATGGAGTAGAGCTTGTCCGGGACGCAGCAGGGGCTGCTCACGCCCTCGCTCAGCTTGAGCGCGTTGATGATGGACTGCACCGTGGCGTGGTTCGTGGGCCGCATGTTCTCTCCCAGCGGGAAGGGGCAGGCGCCCTTGCAGTGATACGCGTTGTAGCCGCGCGGAGAGATGATCCAGCCGGACCAGCCGATCTCCTCGAAGTCCACGGACAGGGGATGCCGCTGGCAGGGCTGGAGGCGGTCCAGCGAGCGCGCGCTCCGCGGCCCGCTCCCTTTGGGCGCCGTCATCTTAGCAGGGAGAATGGGAGCCTGGGGCTGGAGATCTACCCAAAATGAGGAAACGGTAAGTTAGGGACCGCACAAATTTTCCTGAGCAGCTATGGGTCTCACTAATTCCCTGTTCCCATTTCTCAGGAGAATCTAAACCCAAAGGTTTAAACAATTGCATCTCAATGCATGGGGAGAAGTAGGGGGGGGAAGGTTTTCCATGGACATTCTGGGCTCTCTGGGGATGCAGTCGGAGCTGCCAGCACAGCACCCGTCACCGTCTCCTCCGACCCAGTCACACCCGCAATAACCACAAGCGCCAGGACCCAGCAGCCGCCACGGCAGAGGTGATGGTGGCTCTGCCCTGTCCCCCTCTCTGCGGGCACTGGGAGCCCCCGGGACACACCTGGGAAGGCGCCGGTGGGCAGGGAAGCTCCGCGGCGCCCGTCGTCCGTGAAGAGCACCAGCATGGGCTTCTTGCTCTCGTGGTGGTCCCGGCCGGAGGCGAACCGCACGCCAGGGGGGTCCGGCGGGCCCCCGGCCAGGCTCTGCACCGACACCAGCAGCCCTTGGTTGCTGCTTTCGTCCTCCGTCCAGTCGCGGACCTGGGGAAGGGAACGGGCGTCACCAAGGTACCCGTCGCAGGTGACGAGGGTTCCCAGCAGAGCCACCACCCCTTGGGACAGCGGAGCCGGCATCCAGGTCACCGTGCTGCATGTCCCTCCGCCAACGCACCCCCCAGGCTGGGGTTAGGGCACTCACAGCTTGTGTGATGGCAAAGACCTCCCAGCCTGAGCCCTGCAGCGCCAGGAGCCGGCTCGCCAGCAGCTTCCGCCCCTCCGGAGCCTCCGGCCTCATCTTGTCCAGGACCTGGTAGACGCTCACCTGCGGACGGAGGCAAAGGGCCATGACCGCGAAGCCGGGTCGGGTTGTGCTCCTGCAGGCAGGGCCTGTCCCCAGCCCCCGGCGCGTCCCCGTGTCCTCGTCCCCCTGCTCACCTCGCCGAAGCGGCGCC